CTGAGGGGAGACCTTATCGCTCTCTACAACTCCCTGAAATTAGGGTGTAGAGAGGCGGGGGTCGGTCTCTTCTCCCAAGTTACAGATGACAGGACAAGGGGTAATGGATTCAAGTTGCACCAGGGTAGGTTTAGACTGGACATTAAGAAACAATTCTTCACAGAGAGAGCGGTAGGGCATTGGAATAGGCTGCCCAGGGAGGTGGTTGAGTCACCATCCCTGGCTGTGTTTAAGAACCGTTTAGATGTGGTGTTGGGGGATATGGTGTAGGGGAGTACTTTAGAGTAGGGTGGATGGCTGGCCTCGATGATCCCGAGGGTCTTTTCCAGCGTAGATAATTCTGTGATTCTGTGATCATCACCCTCTTCAGTGACGCTGGGATGGGTCCAAATCACATCATCACTCCCCAGATACCCTTCATTTTTATTCACCGCAAAAAGACATCACGAAACGCCCAGACCCAGGGCTGGCCCCTTCCCCTCAGGTGGCTCCACCAACCAGCCACAAACCCGGGCTGGGGCAGCTATCGAGCAGCGTGAGACACAGACAAAAAGGCACCTGCAAAACAAACAACAAAGCCCAACTGGAATTCAGCAGCATCAATCAGAAGAGCACCCAAGAGAGTAGGGCAATGCCCTCCAACCGAGGGACAGGACAGGCGCTGAGCAACAGGAGGATCCCGGGAAAACAGCTCCGCTCGAAACACGACACAGCCTGCCAAAGCCAGAGCCATGCCGACGCTTCAGGTCCCTCTTCAGGCTGATCGAAGCCACCTGGAACACCTTCTCAGCCTAACAGTGAACCTCTGGCTGGTGCAGGAAAATGCCCAGCCCCTTCCTCCCAGCACAGTGAGATCACCCTGCGAGGGGCAGGAGCAGGCTGTGCCGTGACCAGAATGACGCTGAGGGACCCAGCGCTGCCGCTACAGCCCTGGCGCTGCTGCTGCTCTTCTCGCTCAGTCAATGCGGCTCAGAGGGAAGGGTAAAACCTTGAGGAATACAGGGCGCAACAAAGAAAAAAGCTCGATCATTCACTTTATGCTGAAAAGGTGTGCCTGTCTTTATACACATTCAATAAAAATACTTTTACCACAGAAGTGTCTGACTTTCCTTTAGCACTAATTAAGCTTGCACAGCTGTGCACTGATACCATCGCACTGTCCATCTCCAAAACACACAGTTATCATTTGACTATGGGGTTTTGGTGTCCGCTACCCAATGAGTAGTTTTTGAGTACTTTTATAAGCTACTCTAAAAAGCTTGTATCATGAAAATAAAGTCTGTTTCTTCTCAATATTTGCACTCCAACAAAGAGGTTCTTCACTCTTTTAGTACAAAATTATTTTCATGGTATCATTTAACTACAAAGTGCCCAGAAAGAGAAGATTATGCTTTCAGCAAGAGATAATAAGCAGAGGGAAGTAAGCTTTGCGTGGGCATAACATGCTCCAGAACAGACCTTATTTATGTTAACTTCAAAGTCCACACTACAAGGACCTTAGGAAAAATGCAGATGCACATCGCAGACGTACCTTGTACTCACAGAGCACTCCAGATCCTCTCCATCTGTCCTGTGCTGTTGCAGCAGAAAAAAGGATGACCCTGGAGCAATAGTGGCAGTTGACATTCTGCCAAGAAAGGAAAAAAACCTTTAGTGTAAAGCTGGGCAGGAATCTAAAGCTTCCTTCTTCTGTGAAGGTTCGCAAAGACCACAGCCAAGTGGAGGAAAAACTATTTGGCATCACCTCTGGCACAGCTGTGGATATGGGCCATTAGAGCTTTTGCATTTTTTAGACTACCCTGCCTTTTTTTGACCCACTGGCAGCTTCAGTTTCACTAGAGCCACTTTCCCAGATACACGCAGGTGACAGGCACAGATGCCTACCTACCTGTTCTCAAGCCTACGTAGAGCCAAGGCTTCCTCACCCTATACATCCCAAGTTGAATATTGTTGTTAAAAGGTAGAGCAATCCACCTGTCCTTGTAAACTGTCTCCTTGCAAAAAAGGAATTATTTTTTCCAAGCCATTTCTCCCAATGGACAAGAACTTTTCAAACTGCTGTCGCACCACCAAACCTGCTCAGGGTCCCTCACAGCTTTTGATTGCCCTGGGATTTACCAAGCGCATGCCCTGGTCTGTCCCCCAACAGCCAAAGCACAGCAGCTCCCAGAGCAAAGCGCAGCCCCCGTGGGTGCCCACACACACCCTGCTGTTTGATGGGGAGCCCCCAAGCGCAGCCACAGGCCCAAGGGCAGCTTCACCCGCACCCATTTCAGGGGATGTGGCTTCTGAAGCTGTAAACTGAACACCCCTTCTTGACACTTGGCCACATCAGGAGTGATCCATGAAGAGAACCCCACAAAAACACAGTAACGCTAATTGCAAACCCACAGCAGCAACAGCAGCAGCTTCAGAGACACTTGGGCCGGGAACAAGGGAGAAAAATAAAACAGCTTCATCCGGTGCACAGGAAAGCAGCAGGAGAAAAGGGTCAGCATTCACAGCCCTTACAGAAGACGGGCATTCTCCTTCCACTCCTAAACCTGTCCGTTAGATGTAAATATCGCAGCACTGCCATGGCCAGACTGAGGGCAGGAAACAACGGCCCTGCTGCCGGACACGTATGGAGCGGGACACATAGACAGAGGGACTTCTTTTGCCACACACAACTCTGAATTTCCTGAAAATTTATGTTTACCAAAACCAGCCACTTGGAACATACTGCCAAACAGCATTTGGCAATTCAGCTTTGATGCGTGTTTGACACAGAAAATTTTTTGGGAACTTGTGATTTGCTTCCTGCTGCTGCTGCTGTTCTTCCTTCAGAAATTCTACTTGTAGCTAAGTTATTCCCTACTGGCTCAAGCACTTACCTTCCTGGTACTACCAGCAGTTTTACACAGGCAAGTCACTTAATTGCTCTGCTAAAATTATCCAAATGAAAGCTGTTACAGCCATGAAAGAGGAGTGAAAAAGGAACCATCAGGCAGCAGAAGAGCTCTGCAGGCTGCCACGTGCAGTCAACCTTGCACCCTGTTTTGGAAACCACACACCCACCTACCCCCACAAAACAAACAAAGAGACACAACCCCCGGCATCTGGCCTCTTTTTTGTCCTCAGGAACTCATCCCTGTCTTGTCAAAGCAGGAAGCACAGACTATCTGTAACCCAAGGACACCTGCATGTGAGGAATACATGTCCAGAAATAGTCCCCATCTCTAAGAGTGGTGTCACTGTTGTGGTTTTAATAATCATAACTCAATTTGATTCACTGGCACATTTGGGAAGAAACTAATTAACTTTTAATTTTAAAGTCCTTGGGGAAAAAAAAAAAAATGTGTTGGAGACTGAAAAAACATTATGATTCAGAGCTCCCACCCGTGAGGGAGCTGTGGGGGGAATTAACAAAAGTGAAGATCAACAGCAGCATCATTCAGTGAAACTTGGCTTTAATTCTGATCGTGTCCTTAAGAGACCCTCCAAGTCTACCTCCTACGAAGGACAGGTCCTTTTCTGGAACGACAAACTTTTTTCACTTAAAAGTCGTAGAGTAAAGGCTCCTTGGAAAAATGTGGATTGAGCCCCAGCAAAACATGCCATCAACACTCTAATAAATCAATTAAAAAAGAATAAAAATCAAGTGATGCATTCATTTCCATCGTGTTTCATTCATTACATTTCTACTGGCACCTAGATGCTCAAAAATCAACTATACTGACACCACATACTAATAAAAATTGAGTTATGAATCCAATCTAAAAGGCTGTTTCCAAGTTGCCCGTAAAATTAGTAGGAACAAACAGAAGAGAAACACTTGACACTAAGGAAGGTCCCAGGCAGCTCTTAATTTATCTTAGGTGAAAGTTTGTTCTCTTACCCCAAACAAAGACATTCCTAACTACCAAGGGCCCAATTCGGGCAGGTGGCACGCTCCGTTAACTGCAATTCCTCATCAGCTTTTCCCCACTGGCAGCAAATTGGCCTTTTCCGCGGGTTGGACATGGAGCATCTGTAGCGTCCCTGAACTTGCAATCATTTCTCCCTGCGCCCCCAGCCCCACGCCTGCAGTTACCCGAGCAGCGAGCGGAACCAGCTCCGCAGGACCTCCCTCCCGCCCTGCAGAATGGGAACCTGGGAATAGGAGAGGAGAGAAATGACCCTGTTTGTAACACCTAGAAATGAGGACAAGCCAGGAGACCCCCACCCCTGCCCTCAAAATCAGGGCCGGGAAGGACCCTCCGCAGAGAGAGAGGGGCCTGGCATGGATTTCATTTTGATGCCTGTTCCCGAGCCCAAAGCCACGCGACTCCCTCTCTCAGCCCCGAAACCAGCCACACGAGCCTGTTTGCCAGCCCCATGAGAGCAGGACCTGGTCTCCGTGTGGGCCCCAAAGCAGCTCACCCTCTCTGCTTCCCCACTCCCTCCGCGTCCTCCCCGGGCCGTGCCGAGCGGCGGGGGGACCGAGGCCACCCCACAGCCCGGCACCCCCGGGGCCCCACGGCCAGTTTCGGGGAGCGCTGGGCGACTGCAGAGGGACCGGCCCCGCGCCTCTGCCGGGAGCGGCAGGGGCTGCCCGGCCCCGGCACGGAGCAGCTGCCGCGCCCGCCGAGGCTCCGGCCGGAGGATCTCACAACGCGCCCGCAGCCCCTCACCCGCCCCGGCGCGGCTCCCGCTGCCGAAGAACGAAACAACGCCGCCGCTC